TCATGGTGGTGAGTGTCATCATGGTGGTGAGTGTCATCATGGTGGTGAGTGTCATCATGGTGGTGAGTGTCATCATGGTGGTGAGTGTCATCATGGTGGTGAGTGTCATCATGGTGGTCTCCGTGGTGAGTGTCATCATGGTGGTGAGTGTCATCATGGTGGTCTCTGTGGTGAGTGTCATCATGGTGGTGAGTGTCATCATGGTGGTGAGTGTCATCATGGTGGTGAGAGTCATCATGGTGGTGAGAGTCATCATGGTGGTGAGTGTCATCATGGTGGTGAGTGTCATCATGGTGGTGAGTGTCATGGTGGTGGTCTCTGTGGTGAGTGTCATCATGGTGGTGAGAGTCATCATGGTGGTGAGTGTCATCATGGTGGTGAGTGTCATCATGGTGGTCTCTGTGGTGAGTGTCATCATGGTGGTGAGTGCCATCATGGTGGTGAGTGTCATCATGGTGGTGAGTGTCATCATGGTGGTGAGTGTCATCATGTGGCGAGTGTCATCATGGTGGTCTCTGTGGTGAGTGTCATCATGGTGGTGAGTGTCTTCATGGTGGTGAGTTCATCATGGTGGTGAGTGTCATCATGGTGGTGAGTGTCATCATGGTGGTGAGTTCATGGTGGTGAGTGTCATCATGGTGGTGAGTGTCATCATGGTGGTGAGTGTCATCATGGTGGTGAGTGTCATCATGGTGGTCTCTGTGGTGAGTGTCATCATGGTGGTGAGTGTCATCATGGTGGTGAGTGTCATCATGGTGGTGAGTGTCATCATGGTGGTGAGTGTCATCATGGTGGTGAGTGTCATGGTGGTGTCTCTGTGGTGAGTGTCATCATGGTGGTGAGAGTCATCATGGTGGTGAGTGTCATCATGGTGGTGTAGTGTCAATCATGGTGGTCTCTGTGGTGAGTGTCATCATGTGGTGAGTGCCATCATGGTGGTGAGTGTCATCATGGTGGTGAGTGTCACATGGTGGTGAGTGTCCATCATGGTGGCGAGTGTCATCATGGTGGTCTCTGCTGGTGTGAGTGTCCATCATGGTGGTGAGTGTCATCATGGTGGTGAGTGTCATCATGGTGGTGAGTGTCATCATGGTGGTGAGTGTCATCATGGTGGTCTCTGTGGTGTCATCATGGTGGTGAGTGTCATCATGGTGGTGAGTGTCATCATGGTGGTGAGTGTCATCATGGTGGTCTCTGTGGTGAGTGTCATCATGGTGGTGAGTGTCATCATGGTGGTGAGTGTCATCATGGTGGTGAGTGTCATCATGGTGGTGAGTGTCGTCATGGTGGTGAGTGTCATCATGGTGGTGAGTGTCATCATGGTGGTCTCTGTGGTGAGTGTCATCATGGTGGTGAGTGTCATCATGGTGGTGAGTGTCATCATGGTGGTGAGTGTCATCATGGTGGTGAGTGTCATCATGGTGGTGAGTGTCATCATGGTGGTCTCTGTGGTGAGTGTCATCATGGTGGTGAGTGTCATCATGGTGGTGAGTGTCATCATGGTGGTGAGTGTCATCATGGTGGTCTCTGTGGTGAGTGTCATCATGGTGGTGAGTGTCATCATGGTGGTGAGTGTCATCATGGTGTTGAGAGTCATCACCATCATGGTGGTCTCGTGGTGAGTGTCATCATGGTGGTGAGTGTCATCATGGTGGTGAGTGTCATCATGGTGGTCTCTGTGGTGAGTGTCATCATGGTGGTGAGTGTCATCATGGTGGTGAGTGTCGTCATGGTGGTGAGTGTCATCATGGTGGTGAGTGTCATCATGGTGGTGAGTGTCATCATGGTGGTGAGTGTCATCATGGTGGTGAGTGTCATCATGGTGGTCTCTGTGGTGAGTGTCATCATGGTGGTGAGTGTCGTCATGGTGGTGAGTGTCATCATGGTGTTGAGTGTCATCATGATGGTGAGTGTCATCATGGTGGTGAGAGTCATCATCATCATGGTGGTGGTCTCTGTGGTGAGAGTCATGGTGTTGAGAGTCATCATCATCATGGTGGTGAGTGTCATCATGATGGTGAGTGTCATCATGGTGGTGAGTGTCATCATGGTGGTGAGTGTCATGGTGGTGAGAGTCATCATCATCATGGTGGTGAGTGTCATCATGGTGTTGAGAGTCATCATCATCATCATGGTGGTCTCCGTGGTGAGTGTCATGGTGGTGAGAGTCATCACCATCATGGTGGTCTCCGTGTTGAGAGTCATCATCATCATCATCATGGTGGTGTCCGTGGTGAGTGTCATCATGGTGGTGAGTGTCATCATGGTGGTGAGTGTCATCATGGTGGTCTCCGTGGTGAGTGTCATCATGGTGGTGAGTGTCATCATGGTGGTGAGTGTCATCATGGTGGTGAGTGTCATCATGGTGGTGAGTGTCATCATGGTGGTGGTCTCCGTGGTGAGTGTCATCATGGTGGTGAGTGTCATCATGGTGGTGAGTGTCGTCATGGTGGTGAGTGTCATCATGGTGGTGAGTGTCATCATGGTGGTGAGTGTCATCATGGTGGTGAGTGTCATCATGGTGGTGAGAGTCATCATGGTGGTGAGTGTCATGGTGGTGGTGAGTGTCATGGTGGTGAGTGTCATCATGGTGGTGAGAGTCATCATGGTGGTGAGTGTCATCATGGTGGTGAGTGTCATCATGGTGGTGAGTGTCATCATGGTGGTGAGTGTCATCATGGTGGTCTCTGTGGTGAGTGTCATCATGGTGGTGAGTGTCATCATGGTGGTGAGTGTCATGGTGGTGAGTGTCATGGTGGTGGTGAGTGTCATCATGGTGGTGAGTGTCATCATGGTGGTGAGTGTCATCATGGTGGTGAGTGTCATCATGGTGGTGAGTGTCATCATGGTGGTCTCCGTGGTGAGTGTCATCATGGTGGTGAGTGTCATCATGGTGGTGAGTGTCATCATGGTGGTCTCCGTGGTGAGTGTCATCATGGTGGTGAGTGTCATCATGGTGGTGAGTGTCATCATGGTGGTGAGTGTCATCATGGTGGTGAGTGTCGTCATGGTGGTGAGTGTCATCATGGTGGTGAGTGTCATCATGGTGGTGAGTGTCATCATGGTGGTGAGTGTCATCATGGTGGTGAGTGTCATCATGGTGGTGGTGAGTGTCATCATGGTGGTGAGTGTCATCATGGTGGTGAGTGTCATCATGGTGGTGAGTGTCATCATGGTGGTGAGAGTCATCATGGTGGTGAGTGTCATCATGGTGGTGGTGAGTGTCATGGTGGTGAGTGTCATCATGGTGGTGAGAGTCATCATGGTGGTGAGTGTCATCATGGTGGTGAGTGTCATCATGGTGGTGAGTGTCATCATGGTGGTGGTGAGTGTCATCATGGTGGTGAGTGTCATCATGGTGGTGAGTGTCATGGTGGTGAGTGTCATGGTGGTGGTGAGTGTCATCATGGTGGTGAGTGTCATCATGGTGGTGAGTGTCATCATGGTGGTGAGTGTCATCATGGTGGTGAGTGTCATCATGGTGGTCTCCGTGGTGAGTGTCATCATGGTGGTGAGTGTCATCATGGTGGTGAGTGTCATCATGGTGGTCTCCGTGGTGAGTGTCATCATGGTGGTGAGTGTCATCATGGTGGTGAGTGTCATCATGGTGGTCTCCGTGGTGAGTGTCATCATGGTGGTGAGTGTCATCATGGTGGTGAGTGTCATCATGGTGGTCTCTGTGGTGAGTGTCATCATGGTGGTGAGTGTCATCATGGTGGTCTCTGTGGTGAGTGTCATCATGGTGGTGGTGAGTGTCATCATGGTGGTGAGTGTCATCATGGTGGTCTCTGTGGTGAGTGTCATCATGGTGGTGAGTGTCATGGTGGTGGTGAGTGTCATGGTGGTGGTGAGTGTCATCATGGTGGTGAGTGTCATCATCATGGTGGTGAGTGTCATCATGGTGGTGAGTGTCATCATGGTGGTGAGTGTCATGGTGGTGAGTGTCATCATGGTGGTGAGTGTCATCATGGTGGTGAGTGTCATGGTGGTGAGTGTCATGGTGGTGAGTGTCATGGTGGTGGTGAGTGTCATCATGGTGGTGAGTGTCATCATGGTGGTGAGTGTCATGGTGGTGGTGAGTGTCATCGTGGTGGTGAGTGTCATCATGGTGGTGAGTGTCATCATGGTGGTGAGTGTCATCATGGTGGTGAGTGTCATCATGATGGTGAGAGTCATCATGGTGGTGAGTGTCATCATGGTGGTGAGTGTCATGGTGGTGGTGAGTGTCATGGTGGTGGTGAGTGTCATCATGGTGGTGAGTGTCATCATCATGGTGGTGAGTGTCATCATCATGGTGGTGAGTGTCATCATGGTGGTGAGTGTCATCATGGTGGTGAGAGTCATCATGGTGGTGAGTGTCATCATGGTGGTGGTCTCCGTGGTGAGTGTCATCATGGTGGTGAGTGTCATCATGGTGGTGAGTGTCATCATGGTGGTGGTCTCCGTGGTGAGTGTCATCATGGTGGTGAGTGTCATCATGGTGGTCTCCGTGGTGAGTGTCATCATGGTGGTGAGTGTCATCATGGTGGTCTCTGTGGTGAGTGTCATCATGGTGGTGAGTGTCATGGTGGTGGTGAGTGTCATGGTGGTGGTGAGTGTCATCATGGTGGTGTCCGTGGTGAGTGTCATCATGGTGGTGAGTGTCATCATGGTGGTGAGTGTCATCATGGTGGTGAGTGTCATGGTGGTGGTGAGTGTCATCATGGTGGTGAGTGTCATCATGGTGGTGAGTGTCATCATGGTGGTGAGTGTCATGGTGGTGGTGAGTGTCATGGTGGTGGTGAGTGTCATCATGGTGGTGAGTGTCATCATGGTGGTCTCCATGGTGAGTGTCATCATGGTGGTGGTGAGTGTCATCATGGTGGTGAGTGTCATGGTGGTGGTGAGTGTCATGGTGGTCTCTGTGGTGAGTGTCATGGTGGTGGTGAGTGTCATGGTGGTCTCTGTGGTGAGTGTCATGGTGGTGGTGGTCTCTCCCCGTGTCCCCGTGCTGAGTGTAGCTGCACAGAGACAGGCTGTCCCCACCGGACGTTCTTCCACACACGCTACTTGATGCGCATGCGGCTCACCCCGGACTGCTCCCGCATGCTGGTCTCCACCTCGTCGGGATACCTCCTCACCCTGCACAACCTGGACCTCACCCGCGACAACACGCCACGGTGAGCTCCCGGACGCTCACCAGCTCACTCACCAGCTCGCTCACTCATTCACTCACTCGCTCGCTCACTCACTCACTCACCAGCTCGCTCACTCACTCACTCACCAGCTCGCTCACCAGCTCGCTCGCTCGCTCGCTCACTCACTCACTCACCAGCTCGCTCACTCACTCATTCACTCACCAGCTCGCTCGCTAGCTCACTCACTCATTCACTCACCAGCTCGCTCGCTCGCTCACTCACTCACTCACCAGCTCGCTCACTCACTCACCAGCTCGCTCACTCACTCACTCACCAGCTCGCTCACTAACTCACTCATTCACTCACCAGCTCGCTCGCCAGCTCGCTCACCAGCTCGCTCACTCACTCATTCACTCACCAGCTCGCTCGCTCGCTCACTCACTCACTCACCAGCTCACTCACTCATTCACTCACCAGCTCGCTCACTAACTCACTCACTCACCAGCTCACTCACTCACTCACCAGCTCGCTCACTCACTCACTCACTCACTAACTCACTCACCAGCTCGCTCGCTAGCTTGCTCACTAACTCACTCACTCACTCGCCAGCTCACTCACTCACTCACCAGCTCGCTCACCAGTTCGCTCACTAGCTCGCTCACTCACTCACTCACCAGCTCGCTCGCTCGCTCACTCACTCACTCACTAGCTCGCTCACTCACTCACTCACCAGCTCGCTCACTAACTCACTCACTCACTCGCCAGCTCACTCACTAACTCACTCACTCACCAGCTCGCTCACCAGCTCGCTCACTAACTCACTCACTCGCTCACTCATTCATTCATTCATTCACCCACACACTCAGTCATCCACTCGCTCACTCACTCACTAGCTCATTCATTCACCCACACACATACAGTCATCCACTCACTCTCTCACCAGCTCGCTCACCAGCTCGCTCGCTAGCTCGCTCACTAACTCACTCACCAGCCCACTCGCTAGCTCGCTCCACTAACTCACTCACTCGCCCACTCATTCATTCACCCACACACACACACACAGTCATCCACTCACTCACTCGCTCATCAGCTCACTCGCTAGCTCACTCACTCACTCACCAACTCGCTCACTCACCAGCTCGCTCACTCACTCACTCGCTAGCTCACTCACTCACTCACCAGCTCGCTCACTAACTCACTCACTCGCTCATTCATTCACCCACACACACACAGTCATCCACTCACTCACTCGCTCATCAGCTCACTCGCTAACTCGCTCACTAACTCACTCACTCACTCGCCCATTCATTCACTCACACACACAGTCATCCACTCACTCATACGTACGTCCACTCTCGCTCAGTCACTCGCTAGCTCACTCACTAACTCACTCACTCACTCGCCCACTCATTCACTCGCTCACTCACTAACTCACTCACTCACCAGCTCGCTCACTAACTCATTCACTCACACACACAGTCATCCACTCACTCATACGTACGTCCACTCTCGCTCAGTCACTCGCTAGCTCGCTCACTAACTCACTCACTCGCTCACTCGCCCACTCATTCACTCGCTCACTCACTCACTCGCTCACTCACTCACTCGCCCACTCACTCATTCACTCACACACACACAGTCATCCACTCATACGTACGTCCACTCGCTCACTCAGTCGCTCGCTAGCTCACTCACTCACTAACTCACTCACTCACTCGCCCACTCATTCACTCACACACAGTCATTCACTCATACGTACGTACATCCACTCGCTCACTCGCTCACCAGCCCACTCACTAGCTCGCTCACTAACTCACTCACTCGCCCACTCATTAATTCACCCACACACTTAGTCATCCACTCATACGTACATCCACTTTCACTCACTCACTAACTCACTCGCTAGCTCACTCACTAACTCGCTAGCTCACTCATTCATTCACTCACCCACACACAGTCATCCACTCATATGTACGTCCACTCGCTCACTCACTCACTCATTCACTCACTAACTCGCTCGCCCACTCATTCACTCACCCACACACACACACAGTCATCCACTCACTCATACGTACGCCCACTCGCTCACTCACTCACTCGCCCACTCATTCATTCACCCACACACACAGTCATCCACTCACTCATACGTACGTCCACTCACTCACGCACTCACACACTCGCTCACTAACTCACTCGCCCACTCATTCATTCACACACACACCTCCTCACTTATCCACTGACACATACGTACGTGCACTCACTCGCTCACTCACTCGCTCACCAACTCACTCACCAACTCGCTCACCCACACGCTCATGAATGCCCTCACCAACTCACTCACACTGGGTGAGGATCTGGGTATGTGCGTGTGTGTATGTGTGTGTATCTGTGTGTGTGTGTGTCTGGGTGTGTGTGTATCTGTGTGTATTTCTGTGTTTGTGTATCTGGGTATGTGTGTGTATCTGGGTATGTGTGTGTATCTGTGTGTGTGTATCTGGGTATGTGTATGTATCTCTGTGTGTGTCTCTGTGTGTATGTATATGTATGTATCACTGTATGTATCTCTGTGTGTGTCTCTGTGTGTGTCTCTGTGTGTATCTCTGTGTGTATCACTATGTGTATCTCTGTGTGTGTCTGTGTGTATCTCTGTGTGTGTCTCTGTGTGTATGTATCACTGTATGTATCACTGTATGTATCTCTGTGTGTGTCTCTGTGTGTATCACTATGTGTATCTCTGTGTGCATCACTATGTGTATATGTATGTATATGTATCTCTGTGTGTCTCTGTGTGTGTATCTCTTTGTGTGTCTCTGTGTGTGTCTCTGTGTGTATCTCTGTGTGTGTCTCTGTGTGTATCACTATGTGTATCTCTGTGTGTGTCTGTGTGTATCTCTGTGTGTGTCTCTGTGTGTATCACTATGTGTATCACTATGTGTATCTCTGTGTGTGTCTGTGTGTATCTCTCTATGTATGTGTGTATCTCTGTGTGTGTCTCTGTGTGTATCACTATGTGTATCACTGTGTGTATCTCTGTGTGTGTCTGTGTGTATCTCTGTGTGTGTCTCTGTGTGTATGTATCACTGTATGTATCTCTGTGTGTATCACTATGTGTATCTCTGTGTGCATCACTATGTGTATATGTATGTATGTGTATCTCTGTGTGTATCTCTGTGTGTGTCTCTGTGTGTGTCTCTCTGTGTGTGTCTCTGTGTGTGTGTGTCTGTGTGTGTGTCTGTGTGTGTGTGTCTGTGTGTGTGTCTGTGTGTCTCTGTGTATCTCTGTGTGTGTGTATGTATGTATCACTATGTGTGTGTCTCTGTGTGTATCACTATGTGTATCACTATGTGAACTCTGTGTGTGTCTCTGTGTGTGTCTCTGTGTGTCTCTGTGTGTATCACTGTGTGTATCACTATGTGTGTATCTCTGTGTGTCTCTGTATGTATATGTATGTATATGTGTGTATCACTGTATGTGTTTCTGTGTGTGTCTCTGTGTGTGTGTCTGTGTGTGTCTGTGTGTGTCTCTCTGTGTATCACTATGTGTATCTCTGTATGTGTATCTCTGTGTGTGTCTGTGTGTCTCACTGTGTCTGTGTGTATCTGTGTGTGTCTCTGTGTGTGTCTCTGTGTGTCTCTGTGTGGTCTCTGTGTGTATCACTATGTGTCTGTGTGTGTCTCTGTGTGTATCTCTGTGTGTCTCACTGTGTGTCTCTCTGTGTGTATCTCTGTGTGTCTCTGTGTGTGTCTCTCTGTGTGTGTCTCTATTTGTGTGTGTGTCTCTCTGTGTGTCTGTGTGTGTCTCTGTGTGTGTCTGTGTGTGTCTCTGTGTCTCTCTGTGTGTCTCACTGTGTCTCTGTGTGTGTCTCACTGTGTCTCTGTGTGTGTCTCTCTGTGTGTGTGTCTCTGTGTGTGTGTCTCTGTGTGTGTATATGTATGTATATGTATGTATGTCTCTGTGTCTCTGTATCACTCTGTGTGTAGGAGCCCTACAGGAATCACGTCGGCGCTCCCACAAGTCTCACTCACGCTCACGCTCCAACGGTGAGCACCACCAACAGCACCGCTCACCACTCACCACCAACAGCACCGCTCACCAGCACCGCTCACCAGCACCGCTCACCGCTCACCAGCACCGCTCACCGCTCACCAGCACCGCTCACCAGCACCGCTCACCGCTCACCAGCACCGCTCACCGCTCACCAGCCCTGCTCACCGCTCACCAGCTCTACTCACCAGCACCGCTCACCACTCACCAGCACCGCTCACCACTCACCAGCCCTACTCACCGCTCATCGCTCACCAGCCCTACTCACCACTCACCGCTCACCAGCCCTACTCACCGCTCACCAGCACCGCTCACCGCTCACCAGCCCTGCTCACCGCTCACCAGCCCTGCTCACCAGCTCTACTCACTGCTCACCAGCGCCATGGTGCCTGGAGCCATAGCCGCTCCACCGGACCTCCTGAATGCCACAGAGTTCCAGGCGGTACCGCTGCAGCTCCTGACAGAGAAGTGGCAGCCTCTCCTCTACACACACACACACGCCAAGACCAGTCTTAACGGACCTCCTGAATGCCACACAGATCCAGGCGGTACCGGTCCAGCTCCCGACGGAGGAGCGGCAGCCTCTCCTCTACAACACACACACACATGATCCACTCCACCGGACCTCCTGAATGCCACAGAGATCCAGGCGGTACCGCTGCAGCTCCTGACAGAGGAGCGGCAGCCTCTCCTCTACACACACACACACACACCATGACCAGTCTTAACGGACCTCCCGGATACCACAGAGATCCAGGCGGTACCGGTCCAGCTCCCGACAGAGGAGTGGCAGCCTCTCCTCTACACACACACACACACACCAGATCCACTCCACCGGACCTCACAAAGACCACACAGATCCAGGCGGTACCGGTCCAGCTCCTGACGGAGGAGCGGCAGCCTCTCCTCTACACACACACACCAGATCCACTCCACCGGACCTCCCGGATACCACAGAGATCCAGGCGGTACCGGTCCAGCTCCCGACGGAGGAGCGGCAGCCTCTCCTCTACACACACACACACGCCATGACCAGTCTTATCGGACCTCCTGAATGCCACAGAGATCCAGGCGGTACCGGTCCAGCTCCCGACGGAGGAGCGGCAGCCTCTCCTCCTCAGCGGTATTGTTGTTGATGTTGTTGATGATTGTTGATGTTTGTTGTTGTTGTAGACGTGACGGTGAGGAACAGCCTGGATGTTGATGTTGTTGATGTTTATTATTGTTGTTGTTTATTGTTGATGTTTATTGTTATTGTTGTTGTAGACGTGACGGTGAGGAACAGCCTGGAGGTTATTGTTGTTTATTATTGTTGTTGTTTATTATTATTGTTGATGTTTATTGTTGTTGTTGTTGTAGACGTGACGGTGAGGAACAGTCTGGAGGTTATTGTTGTTTATTATTGTTATTATTGTTGTTGTTGTAGACGTGACGGTGAGGAACAGCCTGGAGGTTATTGTTGTTGTTTATTGTTGTTGATGTTTATTATTGTTGTTTATTATTGTTGATGTTGTTGTTGTAGACGTGACGGTGAGGAACAGTCTGGAGGTTATTGTTGATGTTGTTGATGTTGTTGTTGATGTTGTTGTTGATGATGTTGTTGATGTTGTTGATGTTGTTGTTGTTGATGATGTTGATGATGTTGTTGATGTTGTTGTTGATGTTGTTGATGTTGTTGTTGATGTTGTTGTTGATGTTGTGATGTTGTTGTGTTGTTGTTGTTGTTGTAGACGTGACGGTGAGGAACAGCCTGGAGGTTGTTGTTGTTTATTATTGTTGTTGTTGTTGTTTATTATTATTGTTGATGTTTATTATTATTGTTGTTGATGATGTTTATTATTGTTGTTGTTGATGTTGTTGTTGTTTATTATTGTTGATGTTTATTATTGTTGTTGTTGTAGACGTGACGGTGAGGAACAGCCTGGAGGTTATTGTTGTTGATGTTTATTGTTGATGTTTATTGTTGTTGTTTATTGTTGATGTTTATTGTTATTGTTTATTGTTGTAGACGTGACGGTGAGGAACAGCCTGGAGGTTATTGTTGTTGTTGTTGTTGTTGTTGTTTATTATTGTTGTTGTTGTTGATGTTTATTGTTGTTGTTTATTGTTGTTGTTGTAGACGTGACGGTGAGGAACAGCCTGGAGGTTGTTGTTGTTGATGTTGTTGTTTATTGTTGTTGTTTATTATTGTTGTTGTTTATTATTGTTGATGTTTATTGTTGTTGTTGTTGTAGACGTGACGGTGAGGAACAGTCTGGAGGTTGTTGTTGATGTTGTTGTTGTTTATTATTGTTGTTGTTGATGTTGTTGTTGTTGTTTATTGTTGTTTATTGTTGTAGACGTGACGGTGAGGAACAGCCTGGAGGTTGTTGATGTTGTTTATTATTGTTGATGTTTATTGTTGTTGTTGATGTTGTTGTTGATGTTGTTGATGTTTATTGTTGTAGACGTGACGGTGAGGAACAGCCTGGAGGTTATTGTTGATGTTGTTTATTATTGTTGTTGATGGTTGTTGATGTTTATTGTTATTATTGTTGTAGACGTGACGGTGAGGAACAGCCTGGAGGTTGTTGTTGATGTTGTTGATGTTGTTTATTGTTGTTGATGGTTGTTGATGTTTATTATTGTTGTTGTTGTTTATTGATGTTTATTGTTTATTGTTGTAGACGTGACGGTGAGGAACAGCCTGGAGGTTATTGTTGATGTTGTTTATTATTGTTGTTGTTGTTGATGTTGTTTATTGTTGTTGTTGTTGTAGACGTGACGGTGAGGAACAGCCTGGAGGTTGTTGTTGTTGATGTTGTTGTTTATTATTATTGTTGTTATAGACGTGACGGTGAGGAACAGCCTGGAGGTGCTCACCCCCGAGCTGCCCCCCAGGAGGGGTCGAAGGTCGGCGAGGGGATGGGCCACGCGGGTGGGGGCTGGTGGAGGGGGGGAGGAGGAGGGGGAGGGGCTTGGGGGGGAGGAGGGGGAGGGGCTTGAGGAGGGGGAGGGGCTTGGGAGGAGGAGGATGGGGGGGGAGGGGCTGTGGGGGGGAGCTGCATCACCTCGCTGCAAGTTCACCCCCTGGGCCACGCTGCACTCATCCGCTGCAGTCACAACCACGACGAGGTGAGGAGGGGGGTGAGGAGGTGGTGAGGAGGTGGTGAGGAGGGGGGTGAGGAGGTGGTGAGGAGGGGGGTGAGGAGGTGGTGAGGAGGTGGTGAGGAGGGGGTGAGGAGGTGGTGAGGGGTGGGGTGAGGAGGGGTGAGGAGGGGGTGAGGAGGGGGTGAGGAGGTGGTGAGGAAGGGGTGAGGAGGGGGTGAGGAGGTGGTGAGGAGGGGGTGAGGAGGGGGTGAGGAGGGGGGTGAGGAGGTGGTGAGGAGGGGGTGAGGAGGGGGTGAGGAGGGGTGAGGAGGTGGTGAGGAGGTGGTGAGGAGGTGGTGAGGAGGGGGTGAGGGGTGGGGTGAGGAGGGGGTGAGGAGGTGGTGAGGAGGGGGGTGAGGAGGTGGTGAGGAGGGGGTGAGGGGGGGTGAGGAGGGGGGTGAGGAGGGGGTGAGGAGGTGGTGAGGAGGTGGTGAGGAGGGGGTGAGGGGTGGGGTGAGGAGGGGGTGAGGAGGTGGTGAGGAGGGGGGTGAGGAGGTGGTGAGGAGGTGGTGAGGAGGTGGTGAGGGGTGGGGTGAGGAGGTGGTGAGGAGGTGGTGAGGAGGTGGTGAGGAGGGGGTGAGGAGGGGGTGAGGGGTGGGGTGAGGGGTGGGGTGAGGAGGGGGGTGAGGATGGTGGTGAGGAGGGGGTGAGGAGGTGGGAGGGTGGGTGAGGAGGGGTGAGGGGGTTGAGGAGGTGGTGAGGAGGGGGGGTGAGGAGGTGGTGAGGAGGGGTGAGGAGGGGGTGAGGAGGGGGTGAGGAGGTGGGGTGAGGAGGGTGGTGAGGAGGTGGTGAGGAGGGGGTGAGGAGGTGGTGAGAGGGGTGAGGAGGGGGTGAGGAGGTGGTGAGGAGGGGTGGTGAGGAGGGGTGAGGAGGGGGTGAGGGGTGGGTGAGGAGGTGGTGAGGAGGGGGGTGAGGAGGTGGTGAGGAGGGGGTGAGGAGTGGGGTGAGGAGGTGGTGAGGGGTGGGGTGAGGAGGGTGGTGAGGAGGTGGGAGGAGGGGGTGAGGATGGTGGTGAGGAGGGGGTGAGGAGGGGGGGAGGAGGGGTGAGGAGGGGGTGAGGATTGGGGGTGAGGATGGGGGTGAGGAGGGGGTGAGGAGGGGTGAGGAGTGGGTGAGGGGACCGTCACACTCACCTCTCCCCCACCCCCACCACCATCTCCCCCCCACCATCCCCCCCACCACCCACCAACCACCACAGTGGACGTGCATCTACGACTTGGAAGACAGCCCCGGCGTTGGCCCCACCGCCTCCTCCTCCACCGCCTCCACCGCCTCCTCCTCCACCGCCTCCTCCACCGCCTCCACCGCCTCCTCCACCGCCTCCTCCTCCACCGCCTCCGGCAGCCGCCGCCTCCGCCCCCGTGGCCGCCTCCGCCTGAGCCACTTCATGGCGGAGGCGAACGTGGGCCGCGGCTACATCAAGGAGCTCTGCTTCAGCGGCGACGGGCGCCTCGTCGGCTCCCCGCACGGCCGCGGCGTCCGCCTCCTGGCCCGGGACTCTCGCTGCGGGGACCTCGGCGCGGTGGCGGAGGAGGAGGAGGAGGAGGAGGAGGAGGAGGAGGAGCCGGGGAAATGCATGAACTGGGACGCCTGTACGCCCACAGCGACGTTGTACTCGCCGCTAAGTTCTCGCCCACGCACTGCCAGCTGGCCACGGGCTGCCTCAGCGGGCACGTGCACCTCTACCAGCCGCGCTTCTAGCCCCAGACGCTGTAGGGCACGGGCGCGCGCTTCTAGCGGCCCAGCTTCTAGTCTAGACGCTGAGGGCACGGGTGCGCGTCTAGCGGCCCAGCTTCTAGTCTAGACGCTGGGGCACGTGGGCATCTACCAGCCCAGCTTCTAGTCTAGACGCTGAGGCACGTGGGCATCTACCGGCCCAGCTTCTAGTCTAGACGCTGGGGCACGTGCACCTCTACCAGCCCAGCTTCTAGCCCAGACGCTGAGGGCACGGGCACCTCTACCAGCCCAGCTTCTAGTCTAGACGCTGAGGGCACGTGCGCGTCTAGCGGTCCAGCTTCTAGTCTAGACTGGGGGCATGTGGGCGTCTAGTGGTCCAGCTTCTAGTCTAGACGCTGGGGCACGTGGGCATCTACCGGCCCAGCTTCTAGTCTAGACGCTGGGGCACGTGGGCATCTACCGGCCCAGCTTCTAGTCTAGACGCTGAGGCACGTGGGCATCTACCAGCCCAGCTTCTAGTCTAGACGCTGGGGCACGGGGCATCTACCAGCCCAGCTTCTAGTCTAGACGCTGAGGCACGTGGGCATCTACCGGCCCAGCTTCTAGTCTAGACGCTGGGGCACGTGGGCATCTACCAGCCCAGCTTCTAGTCTAGACGCTGGGACACATGCACCTCCACCACCACTCTTCTAGCTCGCGGGCCTGGCTAGACATTGGCCTAGAGGCCTGGCTAGAGACTAAGCCAGAGGCCTGGCTGGAAGCCTGGCTAGAGGCCTGGGTAGAGACTAGGCTAGATGCCTGGTTAGAGGCCTGGCTAGAGACTAAGCCAGAGGCCTGGCTGGAAGCCTGGATAGACACTAGGCTAGAGGCCTGGCTAGAGACTAGGCCAGATGCCTGGCTAGAAGCCTGGCTAGAGGCCTGACTAGAGACTAGGCCAGATACCTGGCTAGATTGCCTGGCTAGAGGCATGCCTAGAGGCCTGGCTAGAGGACTGAGACATGTGGACCTCTACCAGCTCCGCTTCTTATCTCGCGGGGCTAACCTAGTGGCCTGGCTGGCTAGAGGCCTGGCTAGAGACATGGCCAGAGGCATGGCCAGAGGCCTGGCTAGAGACTAGGCCAGAGGCCTGGCTAGAGACTAGGCCAGAGGCCTGGCTAGAGACTATGCCAGAGCCTTGCTAGAGACGACCAGAGACCTGGCTAGAGACTAGGCCAGAGGCTAGAGACTAGGCCAGAGGCCTAGCTAGAGACTAGGCCAGAGGCCTGGCTAGAGACTAGGCCAGAGGCCTGGCTAGAGTCTAGACCAGAGGCCTGGCTAGAGTCTAGACCAGAGGCCTGGCTAGAGTCTAGGCCAGAGGCCTTGCTAGAGACTAGGCCAGAGGCCTGGCTAGAGACTAGG